CTGCAATTTTCTTTTTTTGTGGAATCTTTGCCTGGTTTTGTATCAGGGTTATGTTGGCTTCGTAAAATGAATTCGGAAGTATCCCTTCCTTTTCTATGTTCTGAGATAGTTTGAGTAGTACTGGTATAAGCTCTTCTCTGAATGTTTGGTAGAATTCTCCATTGAAGCCATCTGGGCCAGGGCTTTTTTTTGGTTGGGAGTTTTTTAAATTACCTTTTCAATCTCTTCTCTTGTTATGGGTCTGTTCAGATTTTCAACATCACTTGGTGGTAGTTTGGGTAGGTAGTGTGTTTTTAGAAATTTTTCCATTTCCTCTAGGTTTTCAAATTTGTTGGAGTATAGTTTTTCTTAATACTCTGTTATAATCCTCTTTACTTCAGTTGGGTCTGTTGTAATGTCCCCCATTTCATTTCTTATTTGGGCTTATTTGCATCCTCTCCTGTTTTTCTTTTCTCAGTGTGTCCAGGGGTTTTTTGATTCTGTTGACCCTTTTGAAGAACCAGCTTTTGGTTTTGTTGATTCTTTCTACTGTTTTTCTATTCTCTATTTCATTTATTTCTGCTCTAATCTTTATTATTTCCTTTCTTCTGGTGGCCGTGGGCTTTTTTTGCTGTTCTCTTTCTATTTGTTGGAGTTGTGTAGTTAATGTTTTGATTTTGTCCCTTTCTTTTTTGATGTGTGAATGTATTGCCGTAAATTTTCCTCTGAGGACTGCCTTTGCTGTGTCCCAAAGGTTTTGCTATATGTGTTTTCATTCTTGTTTGATTCTAGGAATTTTTTTGATTCCAACTCTGATTTCTTCTATTACCCAGTCGTTTGTAAGCAGGGTGTTATTCAGTTTCCATGTAATTTATTTTTTTTCCTTGTTCTTCCTGTTGTTAATTTCTACCTTGATGGCATTGTGGTCAGAGAAGATACTTTGTATTATCTCAACGTTTTGGATCTTGTTGTGGATTGCTCTGTGGCCTAAGGTGTAGTCTATTCTGGAGAATGTTCCACGTGTATTAGAAAATAATGTACTTTGCGGCTATTGGATGGAGTGTTCTATATATGTCTATGAGGTTTAGTTGGCTGATTGTGCCCTTTAGGTCTTCTGTATCTTTGTTGAGTTTCTTTCTAGATGTTCTGTCCATTACCGAGAGTGGTGTGTTGAGATCTCCTACTATTATTGTGCAACTGTCAAT